CAAGGTTCAAGAAGGGGAGGCGCTGGGAGTGGAGGGACCAGCGATGGCCACCAGGGTCTGGGATGGTTGAGATCCCAGAAGAAGATGAAAGAGCGAGTTCAGTTCCCGCGGGTGCTCGCCTCCTAGAAACACGGCCTCCATAGCTTTATGGCTGAAAGAGGATTTGTTTTTGGAACCCAGACCCACAGCTCCCAGCTGGGGCCAGCCACCAAGCCTCAGGTTCTTACCCTGCAAAGCAGGCGCAACAATAGTCCCTCCACCCTCGCTGCTTGCGAGTTACTGAGAAGTGAGGTGCTGCGAGTCAATGCTGAGCACAGGCCGTGCTCATGATCACCACCGTGTGCCAGGCCCGGGGGAGGATGTCGCTGTGAGCCATACAGCCTTGGCCCCCGCCTTGGTGAATGGTACCACCTGTGGGCAGAGGCGATGCCCCCTGGGTTGGGGATGGGGTAGGGAGCTGTGAAAGCTCCTCTGGGCTTGCATTCTCGCAGGAGGGTGGTAGGCTGGGCAGGTGTGTCCATTGAGCAAGGCCCTGTCTGGCTCTCCCTCCACAGCTGACTTCAGGGACCTTTATACCAAAGTGTTTGAGGAAGAAGCTGCTTCTGTTTCCTCTGCAGATACAGGTCAGGCGTGTGGTTAGTGCCTGGGGGCTGGGGGCGTGCTGCCTGGCCCTCTCTGCACCTCCCATTCCACCCATTCATATTCTCTCTCTCTCTCTCTCTCTCTCTCTCTCTCTCTCTCTATCTATCTCTCTCCAGGGCTCTGCTCTGAAGCCTGCCTCTTCCATCTAGCCCGCTGCCCTTCCCCCAAGTTGCTACGTGCTCATTCAGCCGGGAAACGGCGCCCTGTTCCCACCTACCAGAAGGTCCCCTTGCCCTCGGGCCCTACACCTGCCCACTCCCTGGGGGACCTGAAGGGCAGGTGGCTGGGCTGGGCCCTGGTCACTTGTTTCCTCCAGATGTCCAGGAAGACCCCGGACCCCAGTGGGAATGGAGCCCATGGGCATAAGCAGGTGCCCCAGAGCCGGTGGGGACGGCCAGGCCGAGAGAGTCTCCATCTTAGAAGCTGCGGGGATCTGAGTTCCGTCTCCTCCCTGCGGCGCCTCCTGTCTGGCCGCAGGCTGGAGCGGGGTACTCGCCCCCACAGCCTCAGCCTCAATGGGGGCACCCGGGAGACAGGGCTCTGATGTGGGCTTCTTGCTGCATTGAACAGATCCAGGTGAATGCTGGGGCTACAGGCCCCAGCTGGTTGGGACCAGCAGCCTCCAGCCTTCCCTTGCACTGGCTGACACAGAAAGAAACTCGCTGTATACCCACTGTTATTCCTTTCTCTCCTACCTCGGGCCCCTGCTGCTTGCCTCTGCTCCTCTGGCCTGGGAGAGCTTCTGTCCTGTACTGCATGGGTGTTCAGGCTGTGGGGGAGATACCCCGCTTACAGCACCGGAGGAAGAAAATAATCAAGGCCTGCCCCACCCCCCACCCCCCAGCATGAGAGTAACTCTCTCTGATTGGTCAGGGGCCCTATGGCCAGGGCAAGGCCTGCCCAGGGTGTTGAAGCCTAAGGGGCTGTGTGCCTATACAACTGGGTGGTGAAGCATGAAGAGTCATAAAAACCTGGGTGGCCTCCCAGCTCTGCCACCTCTAGCTGCATGACCTTGGACAAGTTATTTAACCTCAGTGTCCTGACCTGTAAAGCACTGCGAGGGCAAATGTTTGTAAAACCCTTAACACACTGTAAGCCTTCAATAAATTTCAATTTGCCCCTTCCCTTCTGGATTATTTTTTATCATCAATGAAATTCGTTCTAGTGTCTCTTACAGATAAAACTCCCTCAAGACTGACATTCCTTTCAGCTGCCACACTGTATCTCTGCTCCTTTTCATAGCAGAATGTTTTCTCTCCTTCCCTGCACTCCACTACCGATTCCCAGGCACGGCTCTTGATAAAGTTTTCAGCAACCAAGAAGTGGCCATTTCTCTGCCTGCTGCTCAAACTCTCACAGGCCTTTACCCAGAAAATCAGCATCTTTCTTCTTGATTTTTTTCCCTTTCTTGTCTTTGAAGATACCATGTGCTCCTATTTTTTTCCTCCTACTTTACCCTCTTGGTATCCTTTGAAGCCTTTACACCAGCGGTTCTCAACCTGTGGGTCGCGACCCCTTTGGCGGTCAAACGACCCTTTCACAGGGGTCGCCTAAGACCATCCTGCATATCAGATATTTACATGACGATTCATAACAGTAGCAACATTACAGTTACGAAGTAGCAACGAAAATAATTTTATGGTTGGGTCACAACATGAGGAACTGTATTTAAAGGGCCAGAAGGTTGAGAACCACTGCTTTACACCTCTGCTGGATGATTAACACGGGAAGGCCCCAGGGCTCTCCCCTCAGCCATTTTCTACTTTCACTTTCGGCAGATGGCTCTTCCAAGACCTGTAGCTTAAATGCCATTCAGGTGTCCATGGATAACTCCCACCTTGACCTCTCCATGGGCTCAGACCTCCAACTTGACATCTCTGCTTGGATGTCTAATGGGTGTCTCAGCCTCAACATGGCCACAACTGAACTCCTGATTCCCACCTCTAGCACCTGGCCCACTTCCACTGTTCCATCTCACCAAGTGGCACCACCACCCAGGTGCATATTCCAAAAGCTTGGGACTCAACCTGATTTCTTCTTCTCCCTCATCCATCACACCCAATCCTATTCTGAACTCATCCATGTCTCACCAGCTACTCAGCTCACGTCCCCGTTTCTGCCAGCATCTGAATGGATTTATTTCCTTTCTTCCTAACACTCCGTTCTCCACCCAGCAAAGTAAGAAGTCATGTCACATCAAGATTCCACCCAAACCTAATGTCTTCCCATTGCATTTAGAATAATCTCCAAACTTCTTCCCAGACTACAGACAGGTAAAACCTGGTCTGCTTTGCACAGGGCCTTCTCACCTGCTTTCCCCCAAGCATTAAACGCTGGGCCCCAGGGCTGTTGCCTTCACTTAAGCCTAATTCACCTTCTCGTTGAGCAACCTCCACTCACTTTACCACACTGTCATGTTGTTTTGAGCACTTATCACGAGCTAAAATTATCTTGTTTTTGTCTGTTGTCCCATAAAATGTAAGCTCCAGAAAGCAGGGACTTGCTCATTGCACTGGGCCTAACACTTAGTAGGTCCTCAACAAACTCAAGTTACTTAAGTGGCAGAGTGGGGCCTTGAAAGCAGCGTTGGGGCCCTATGGGAAGGAAGGGAGGAGGAAGGGGCACTGACCGCAGATGGCGTCAGGCCGCAGGACTCCTTGAATAATTCACCATCATAACAGCCCCGCCTCAGGGAGGGCTGGGGTGCGGCCAGGACGACACAATAAGGTGGATTGGGATTCCCAACGGGGCAGTTTCTGGGCGCTGAATGGCTGCTATCCGGAGGCTCCTAGAGGAGGAAGCTCACGAATCTTGTTTGTCCTGGATTCATTGAGGGAATTCTATCTCCCTTCCCCACCACACCCCCTCGCTTTATATTGGGGGGCAGGCTCCTGGGCCGAGGCGCATGCGCGCTTCGTGACTCCTGCTCCCTCTTTCCCGTAGACCCCCAAATACGCTTGCGCCCCATCTGGGTTCCCACTGGTCAGGGAGAGCCGTCGGAGGACCAATAAGGCGTGCGGAAGGGGCCTGCGTCCCGCCTTCTGGCCACTAGAGATACACCTTCCTGAGCTAGGCCCCGCCTCCTCCCGGCCCCGCCCCGCCCCGCGGACCCGAGCGTCTCGCGGCTGCGCGTGGTGCGGCGCACCCTCGCTGGGACGCGGACGCTGCGGAGCCCCCTCCTCCAGCCCCGCCCACCCCGCTGTGCAGGCTGCAGTGGGTTTGCCTTCACCTCCTCCGGTTGGGGTGCTGTTTTACTTCGCCCACGGTAGGCGTCACGGATGTGGCACCGTTTGGATCTTAACTCTCCCTCCCGGCGTTTGCACTTCACTTCTTAATCATCATTGTTGTTATTTGTAGGGATGGTCGTAATTTACTAATGAAGAAGAGAGGATAAAATCTTAAAATTCTCCTCTGCCCACCTTGTGTGTGGTTTTTTTTAACATTTAAAAAATATATATCTTTATTGATTTCAGAGAGGAAGGGAGAGGGAAAGGGAGATAGAAACATCAGTGTTGAGAGAGAATCATTGATTGGCTGCCTCCTGCATGTCCCCTACTGGGGATCAAGCCTGCAAACCTAGGCATGTGTCCTTGACCAGAATCGAACCTGGGACCCTTCAGTCCGCAGGCTGACGCTCTATCCACTGAGCCAAGCCAGGTAGGGCCCACCTTGTTTTTTTGAGGGGTGGAGTGGGTATAAGGTCTGTGTAATTTGTTCCTCTGTTCTTCAGTCATTCCACAAACGTTCACTGAGCACCGGACTGGTGCCCGGCGCTATGCTACACATTGGGGTATGGCCATGGGGATAGGAAGGGAGGTGGACAGACTCATCCATATCCTACTGGGCTTACCCACTGACGGACCAGCCGGCAAAGGAGTTAGCAGCCACCGGACACTCCAACTGACATTAAGCCACTATACAATTAATATGGATAAGAGCTACAAAGGAGACGTAAGGGCTATCAATGTGTGTTACAGGAGGGCTGTGTGTGGAGGGAGAGAATTTTTGGAGAAAACGACATCTCAGGTGAGTTCTGAAAGATGAATAGGCATTAATTAGGCTGCATGGAGGTGAAGAGCCTTTTCCAGGACTCTGAGGTACAGTGGATGTGGAACAAGGGACAAGTCCATGGCAGGCTGTAATTGGCAGATGTTCTCCCTGTCTTGGCATCTTCCCCCCTACCGTCTAATTTCTATACAGCAGCCAGAATGACCTTAAAAATATAAATCTGATTCTGTCACTTCCCTGCACCAAACTCTCCAGTGAATTTCCATCTTAGAACAAAATTCGGACTCCTTACTGTGGCCACCAAGGCCTACAGAGTCTGGCTCCAAACTTTCCTTTCTAAACTCACTTCTTAAAATTAGCCCCATCACTGGCTCTATCCAGCACTCCCTACCCCTTTATTTTCCTTCATAGTTTTCATGACCATGTGAAATTATCTCTCTCTCTTTTTTTTAATCTATCAGCCACTAGGACAGGAACTTTATCATCTTATTTATTGTATCCCCATGATTTAGAACAGTGCCTGGCATATAGTAGATGCCCAATTATTATTTGTTGGATGTGTGAAGTGAGGAGCACTTAGCAAGGGTGCCTAACCCAGTCAGAAGGTATCAGGAAAATGGTACTGATGGCAGAGATAGGAAGGCTGGGGCCTTAATGATTAAAAAAGAAAAAGAGTTATTCATTTTCTTCAAGAGAAGAGAAGAAAGTACTTATGGCAGGGAGGAAAATAGAGGCAAAATGGAATGCAGCCTGTCAGGGGAAATGGGATTGGAGAGGTGAGAAATGAGGGTGGAACCAAGATCCGGTAAACCTGCTTAAAGGTAGTGTGGTGCCATTAAAGGATTTGAGGAGGGAGAGTGGTAACTTCAGAATTGATATTTTAGTTAGACCATCCAGGTCTTAGAGAATGGATTGGAGGAGGAAAGTGGTTACAAGACCAAGATGGTTCTGTAGTCTAGGAGAGAAATAATGTGGAGAAAGGTACAAGGAGAGGATGTAGGTTAAAATAAAATAAGTTTGTCAAGTAAAAAAAAAAAAAGAGCCCCAGGTCCTGGGGGAAGGGGTTCCATGTCTGGGGAGAGAGCACAGGAAGAAGAACAGGCTTGGCTGGGGGAGGTGACCTCATCATGGTCCTGTGAGGTGTCTGTGAGACACCGAGGAAAGAGCTGAGCTCAGGGTCATGTCACAGAGTCACCCCAGGAGGAAGGTTGGGATTGGAGGTGGATTTTTAAAAATATATATTTTATTGATTTTTTACAGAGAGGAAGGGAGAGGGATAGAGAGTTAGAAACATCGATGAGAGAGAAACATCGATCAGCTGCCTCCTGCACACCCCCAACTAGGGATGTGCCCGCAACCAAGGTACATGCCCTTGACCGGAATCAAACCTGGGACCTTTCAGTCCTCAGGCCGAGGCTCTATCCACTGAGCCAAACCAGTTAGGGCTGGCGGTGGATTTTTTACACCAAAGGCAACTAGAAGGTAATCAAAGCCATGGGGTGTCTCTTAGGAAAGATGACGCATAAGAAAAGGGCTAGGACAAACCCCTAAGGAACACCGGCAGACAGAAAGGTGAAACCCTCAAAGGAGAAGAAGCAGTCAGAAAGGTGGGAGGACTTCCGACCAGCAGAATGGGGACGAGAGAAATGGTGGCAGCGAGAGGAAGCAAGGTGGGAGGTGGAGGTCTTAGACAGATGACTCAGTCAACTACCTGGAGGGAAGAAATAAAGGCTGAGTAACAATAACAGTAATACTTCCTGGCATCTGTGTCTATTATAGTTCACAAGGTGTACCATCACAGACATTATTCTTTTTTTTAAAAATTGATCTCAGAGAGGAAGGGAAAGGGAGAGATAGATAAAAACGTAAATGATGAGAGAGAATCATTGATTGGCTGCCAAGTTGCAACCCAGGCATGTGCCCTGACTGGGGAATCAAACCTTTGACCTCCTGGTTCATAGGTTGATGTTCAATCGCTGAGCCACGCCGGCCGGGCCACAGATATTATTCTTGTCTGTGGGCCTCATTATAGGCCTACATGGGAGGGTCAGAAAAGTAAGGATTGTGCCAGCAGGTTCACTGATGTTCAGGATTTGAATCCACACTTCTATAGCCT